CACCAGTTGGTCTGGCCTTGGCGCACCTGGGTTGCACGTGCTCTTGCCCTAAACCCGAAACCCTAAACCCTAAGCCCTAAACCCTAAACCCTAGACCCTAAACACCTTCAACTGCGGGTTTAAAGGCCTCTGAGGTTTGACAGGGTCTGGGGCTTAGAGCTTCTGGGGTGAGTTTAGGGCTTCTAGGGTCTAGGATGTTCAGGGGTTCAGAGCTTAGGGTTTAGGGTGTAGGAGTTCAGGTTGGGGTTTCGGGAACAACCCCCAAGAAACCGTCCTAGGCCAGATACCGACACGTGAAGCCCTAAACCCTAAGCCTTATACGCCCTAAGGGAAAGAAAGACACCAAAGCCTGCAATTTAAGAGAGCAGAAGGGCGGCACTACGAGTACCTTGCCGAGGTTTCGATAAGAAATTCGGGTTTGGGTTTTAGGGGGTTGAGGGTTGAGGGCTGAGGGATGAGGCTTGCATTTGTGGGATTACGTCTAGGATCCAGGCATCTTGCATTGGGAAGAGAAGGGCTTATAGGCCTGTCAGGGTTTCAAAGGCTTGAGGGTTTGCGGGTTCAGGGCTTTACGGGTTTAGAGTCGTAGGATTCAGGGGATTCAGGATTCTTGGGTTCGCATAAAGAGCCCCCTCCAAACAAATGCTAAAACATCACCCCTGACCGGCGAGTGCAATTACACGGACTTTTGACCCTAAGCCCCGGGCCATACACCGTCAACCCCAAACCCTTGTCAAGGCCCTAAACCCCAAGCCCTAAACCCTAGTTTTTCCAGGGCTCCGAGAATGCTGATCCTAGTTGATAGTTGAATTTAACGTTGCCTTGCAGGTGCGGAAGATGCTGAGGCTGGTCCGGACCCTGTAAAACCCTAAACCCCAAACCCTAAGCCCTAAGTGCTATAAAGCTTCGGGTGGTCTTAGGGAGAGGCCCCAATGGGAGGTCTTAGGCAGGCCCCTCGGAGTGGGCCTCACATTTTGGGGTTACGGTTTTCGGCTTTAGAGTTTAGGGTTGAGGGTTTCGGGTTTAGGGTTTGGGGTTAAGGGTTTAGGGAGTCCTATAGGTTCCAGCTTCCATAAGTTTCAGCACGGTTGATGTTGGGTTGCTTTGGGGTTGATGTGTTCAGGGTCTAAGGAGTTTAGGGTTTAGGGTTTAGGGTTTAGGGTTTAGGGTTTAGGGTTAGGGTTTAGGGTTCGCATCTAATATTGTGGTAGCCCAAAACTGTCGACCCTAAAGTTAGGGCTTGGAGGCTTTGGGGTTTAGGGTTTAGGGTTTAGGGATTTTGCACCCTTTTTGATCACATTTGACACCTTAGTCTCCATGACGGCACGAAGCCGCCCGTTCCCCCAAGCTGCTCAACAACCGACGCGAAGGGAGTTTAGGTCCAGGTCCAAGCGCCGGACCCCACTGGCTAGAGTCTAGGGTTTAGGGTTCAGGGTGTAGGGTTTAGGGTTTAGGGTTTAGGGTTCAGGCTTGAGGCTTCTGGGTTTGGGGTTTGGGGTTAGGGTTCAAAGAGCCACAAACCCTAAACACTAAGCATGCTCAAGAAGGGAGGGGAAAGGCGGTGAAGGTTTAGGGTTTAGGGTCTAGGTCCAGGTTTTGGGGTTTAGGGTTTAGCTCGGTTGGATTTGAGCGATGCTCACCTTCGACTCAGCCTGACCTGCTCCCTGCCAGCGCGTCTAGCCTTGCATTGTGTCAGCATTTAGGGCTTAGGGTTTAGGGTTTAGGGCCCAGGGTTTAGGGTTGAGGGTTTAGGGTAGAATCTCCTGCGCGAAGCATGGGACTGTGTCAAGGTGGTTTGCCTTCATCGCCAGGCTGGTTCATGGACCGAGTCCTGCTCCATGACTGGCATCGACTCTTACGATCTTTGGAAGGTTCCTTTGTCTCTTTCCACTTGCTTTGGCTGCGGCCATGGAGCCGGCACCACGCCAGTGTCGAGAAACTACTGGCTCCGTACCCTAAACCCTAAACCCTAAACCCTAAACCCTAAACCCTAAACCCTAAACCCTAAACCCTAAACCCTAAACCCTAAACCCTAAACCCTAAACCCGTTGTTGTAGATGCATGCGTGTGGTCAGTCTCTGCAAGGTCTATCCTAGGTCCTGGGCTAGACGCCACACCCTCAACATGGTCCCCACAAGGGCTGGGCCCCCTAGTTATAAGTAGAGTTATAAGGACCCTAAATGGGGTTATGTTGTCCCTGAGCTTTAGTCAGTATAGCAAAGGGGCCCTCCGTGTATTCGTGTACCCTTAAGATGACCGCCCCTTCAATGAATATGGGCACCCAAACAAGCGACCGTGACCGAAAAAACATGCAACTGACCTTTTCTCAACACACAGTAGGCCCTAACAGTAACCCTAAGCACTAGAGCCCTAGTACGAACCCTAAGCCCTGAACCCTAAACCCTAAACCCTGAACCCTGAACCCTGAACCCTAAACCCTAGGCCCCATACTTAAAAACCTGTCCATGTGCGAAAGCCTTTCGGCCATACACAGATCCTCACTCGTAGGTGCTGTCTGATCCCGCATCAGACTGCGATCGAGTGCACGCAGCAGCGCGGGACCTCAGTCATCGGTTTGGATTTCGGGTTTAGGGTTTGGGGTTTAGGGTTTGGGGTTTAGGGTTTAGGGTTCAGGGTTTAGGGTTTGGGGTTTAGGGTTTAGGGCTTAGGGTACCCTAAACCCGAAACCCATTGTGAAGTGGGGCGAATGGAGGCGCACCAACAGCCGCTGACGGCTGTGTGCTCACAACTTAAAGCTTGGAAGCCAGACATGGAGTCATGACATGTAGTACTAGGGCCCCTAAACCCTAAACCCTAAACCCTAAACCCTAAACCCTAAACCCTAAACCCTAAACCCTAAACCCTAAACCCTAAACCCTAAACCCTAAACCCTAAACCCAGAGTAGGCCCTTATCGAGCTTCGGGTCTAGAGTTTAGGGCAGATCTGGGCCCTTACACTCCCTTGTTGGGGTCTAGGTCCCTTACAAGCCCCTTTAGACCCCAAAAGCGTTTAGGGTTTAGGGTTTAGGGTTTAGGGTTTAGGGTTTAGGGTTTAGGGTTTAGGGTTTAGGGTTTAGGGTTTCGGGGTTCGGGTTGAGGGTTGCGGGTTGAGGGTTGAGGGTTCAGGGCCCCTTGTCTTCCAGGTTACTCTTGGGTTCAACTCAATGCACCCGAGACCCACAAATCTCCAACCCCCCCCCCCCCCCCCCCCCCCCCCCCCCCCCGCCCCACTGCCCCGAACAAAAAACAAACCCTTGTGTAGGGTTGAACTCTATCCTTCCCAAAGCCAATGCCAAAAACCCTCACCCCAAAACCTCAAAACCCCAAGACCCCAAAAAACCCAAAACCCAAAGCCCCCCAAACCCACAAACCCCCAAACCCCCAAACCCCCAAACCCCCAAACCCCCAAACCCCCAAACCCCCAAACCCCCAAACCCCCAAACTCCTGACCCAAAACCCCAAATACCCCAAAACCCAAAACCCCAAAACCCCAAAACCCTAAAACCCCAAAACCCCAAAACCCTAAAACCCCATCCCAAAACCCAAAACCCTAAGCCCTAAACCCGAAACCCTAAACCCCAACTGAAATCCACACGCCGAGGTTCTGCGCGTGGCGGAGGACGCAGCCACGGAATTGACGTCGGCTGCACGGTTGCACTCCGATTGGTTTAGGGTTTAGGGCTTGGGGTTTACGGTTTAGGGTTCAGGTTTAGGGTTTAGGGTTTAGGCTTGGAGTTTAGGGTTTAGTGGTGTGTATGGCTTGGGGTTCAGGGTTTCAGTCCTGGCGTGCGGGTTATAGGATTAAGTTTTGCAGGATACCCCAGCACCCTAAACCCTAGACCTCTTTGAGGCTGCGGAGCCCGGAAGCAGCCACCCTCAACCCTGAACCCCAGCAACACCCTCTTTCCTTATTAGGCTTTTGGGGCTGTTAGGGCTTTGGGTTCCCCAACCCTAAACCCTAAACCCTAAACCCTAAACCCTAAACCCTAAACCCTAAACGTGGTCCCTCCGTATGGTTTAGGCCCTTTGGGTTGTATAGGGTACATAAGCGGTACATGACGGGTCCCCTTTTAAGGGCCCATACGAACCCTTAGAGTTGTGGCTAACGCCTTTAAAGTGGTGAGGCTCAGGGCTTCAGGGTAGCAGGGACCGGGGAATGTTTAGGCGCATGATTTGCACTGTCAGCCGCAATCCGCAAACCCAAAACCCTGAGCTTAAATTCTACACCGCGCGCGGGCCAGAACCCTTAACCCTAAAACCTAACCCCCCCCCCCTCACCCCCCCCCCCCCCCCCCCCCCCCCCCCACCCCCCCCCACCGTTTCCCGCCTCCCCTATCCCCCCCACCCCCCCGACCGACACCCCCCCCTGCACCCCCATCCAACCGATAATTAGGTTGGGTTGGGCACGTAGCCTCTCCCTTGGTCTTCCCGGGATGTGTTTAATTTTAGGGGGTGGGGGGGGGGGGGGGTGTATATTAGGGGGTATTAGGGTTCAGGGTTTAGGGTTTAGGGTTCAGGGTTCAGGGTTTAGGGTTTAGGGTTTAGGGTTTAGGGTTTAGGGTTTAGGGTTGGGAGGGGAACAAAGAGCCCGCAGCAGCCGCGAATGCCTCGCAGGATCAAGAGAAGTCCAAGGCCGTAGGCAGCACGCCATCCAACAATCACAAGCCCTGAAGTCCTTGCGCACCAACCAAACATCACGAGCCCTGAAGTCCTGAATTAGTGTTTTCTGGTTTTAGGGTTTAAGGTTTAGGGTTTGTAAGTCTAGGGTATTGTTAGGCGACTTGGCCCTGAAACACACGCTCTTGCCCACAAGATACGCACCTCATTCGGACCCAGCGCTCGGTTCCTTTCTAGGATCTGGTGCTTGGAGGTTCATGGTACTTATAACTTTATAACTGTACTTATAAGCCCCCTAAGTCCCCTAAGTAGGTTATAGGTAGACTTATATCTGTGGTTATAAATGCCCATGAACCTCCAAGCGGGGGCCCACGAAGCAGCAGATGCTTCGCGTTTGGAGTGCGTCCGGAGAAGAAGTCGCGTCCATACCAGTTGCTCGGATGCCGAGTACCCTTTTGCCTGGGCTCAGAGAACAAGATCCCGTCTAAACCCAAATTAAGCAAAGCCCTTAAGTCTAAACTCTAAATCCCTAAGCCCTAAACCCTAAACAGTAAACGCTAAACCCTGAACTCTGAACCCTAAACCCTAAACCCTTAAACCCGAAACCCGACACCCTAAACCCTAAACCCTCCCGGGTGCTCCCTTCCTGAAGTTCTCCTTAACAGGTTGGGGAGTTGACAGACGTGCGGACCCTGAAGCAGTCGTTGCAAGACCGATGCGGGGTAACTCGATTCCGGCAGAGGTGGGGTTAGGGTTTTGGGGTTTAGGCCTAGGTTTAGGGTTTAGGGTTTAGGGTTAGGGTTTAGGGTTTAGGGCTTAGGGTTTAGGGTTTAGGGTTTAGGGTTTAGGGTTTAGGGTTTAGGGTTTAGGGTTTAGGGTTTAGGGTTTAGGGTTTAGGGTTTGCGGCTGACTTCCCGCACAAAAGAGGCTCCTGGATGAGCATGGTGGCAGCCTGGATGATGAGCTGCAGTTGCTCGGAGCTTCGGAAGTTTCGCGGTGTGTTTTGCCGCACATGGTCGGTTTAGGGTTTAGGGTTTAGGGTTTAGGGTTTAGGGTTTCGGGTTTCGGGTTTAGGGTTTAGAGTTTAGGGCTAGTTCTTCAAAAATTAGGGTCCCTTTTTTGGGTCCCCTTGATCGTACGGCACTCTTAAAAGAGAATGACCGCAAAAGGGACCCTATTTTGGAGAACTACCCAGATGTATTACTGTTATCGGTTATTATATTTAGGTTTCCTTCTATCAAGTTGTGAGCGCCAGCACTCACAGTACTGTTTGCAGGCCCATACCCCCAACACCCGATAAACCCAAACACCTGTAAACCCTAAGAATACGCCCCGAACCCCTAAAGCCTCAAAGCCCTAAAGTCTAAACCCTAAACGCTAAACCCTAAACCCTAAAAACCCCTAAAACCAAACCCTAAACCCTAACCCCTCAACCCAAAAAGTTCCAAGGTTGCGTTCTGCGGCAGAGCTGCAGCTCGTGCTTCTTTCATTCTGCAGCGCCTCCGATGATGAAAAGATGGAGTTGGCAGGCGCTGCCTACCGTGGCCCGGACTGCTGAGCCTAAACCCTAAAACCACACACCCACATGTTTCCATGCGTGTTTTTTTTAAGGGTTTAGGGTTTAGGGTTTAGGGTTTAGGGTTTAGGGTTTAATTAGGGTTTCGGGTTTAGGGTTTAGGGTTTAGGGTGTAGGGTGGTTTTGGGGTTGCAGTCTCCTTCAGTTTCTCATGCTTCGATGGAAGGGAACCCTCAACAGCTCTAAGGGTTCTAAGAGGGGCATCCTCAGCTAAGCTGCGATGTTAAGGAAGCCACAAGAATAACGGCCATGTCAGCGCAAGTATATAACTTGAACATATGCCTTCCTATTCTGGTCATTTATAGCTATATGCACATTTCTCCAGGTAGATGCCATGCATGTACCCTAAACTCTAAAGCCTAAACCTCCTAAACCCCCAAAACCCCCTAAAGCCCCTTAAGCCCCCTAAGCCCCCTAAGCCCCCTAAACCCCCTAAACCCCCTAAACCCCCTAAGCCCCCTAAACCCCCTAACCCCCTAAACCCCAAACCGTTTTGTGGTAACTTACAAAGAAGAGGTCCTGAACAGCAGCCCAGGTGGTGACGTGCAGCTCGTGGAACCTTACCTTTCGACTTAGTCACAGTTGGTTTAGGGTTTAGGGTTTAGGGTTTAGGGTTTAGGGTTTAGGGTTTAGGGTTTAGGGTTTAGGGTTTAGGGTTTAGGGTTTAGGGTTTAGGGTTTAGGGTTTAGGGTTTAGGGTTTAGGGTTTAGGGTTTAGGTTGCCCCAAACCCTAAACCTTTCTAGGTAGGCCCTTGGGACATGCATATTTTCCCTCATTGGGTTTAAGAGGGTCATAGTTAGGAATATTTTTCAGAGGGTTTTAAGGGCCGTCCCCAACCCAACAACCCTAAGCACTAAGCCAAAGACCCTCTTTGGAGGTAATCGGTTTGGGGTTTAGGGTTTAGGGTTTACGGTTCAGAGTTTAGTTTAGGTTTAGGGTTTAGGGTTTAAGGTTTAGGGTTGAGGCTGCAGCCTTTCTTGGGCAGCGGGCAAGCAGACCTTAGTTCTCCTACTGAAGGGCTGAAAGAACTCAATACGTGGGCTTTTTGAGTACCCTAAACCCTACACCCTAAACCCGAAACCCTAGACCCTGAGCCCTTGTAGCCAAGTTAGGAAGTCCTGAATCTACCCTCACCCCGCTTTCAGTTAAAGTCCCCAACCTTAAACCCTGAACGCTGAATGAAGTCTTCATTACACAGATTCCCTTATAGACGAATTGCACAGTTGGTTTAGGTTACCTTAAATCCCAAACCCGAAACCCTACACCCTAAGCCCTAAACCCTAAAGCCAAAGACCCAAGGAAGAGGTCTTGCAACGGCCCCAACACCCAGACGGCCGTTGGCATGACCAAGCCCAGAGTGGGGATCACAAGCGGCGCAGGACTTTTAGGGTTTAGGGTTTAAGGTTTAGGGTTTAGGGTTTAGGGTTTAGGGTTTAGGGTTTAGGTGGGTTGGGTAGTTCTCTAGATCAGGGTCCCTTGGGCTGCTGTTATGTTAATCATCTAAACAATCCTTAGCCATGAATCATGGGTTTCCCTACTACCCCCGCTCCCCCCTTAAATAATCCATGACAGTATGTTGATTGCTGTTTATATATCCCGACAGATTGTACTTTCGCTTGAAGTTCCTTAAAACCGCAACCCAGGATATCATATGCAACGCGACTGCACTCACACACGCCACTTCACTGGGCATGTACGAAGGGCCACGCGGAAGTGGCCGCGCTGTTGTTGGAAGCCGGGGCAGACATAGGCAAGGCATCATGCAGCTTCGCCCCACTTCTTTGCAAGGAATATCGCAGCGGCAACTTGGGTGCTGCGCGTTCGCTGTTGAAAGCTGGCGCGACCATCAGCGGAGGAGAGGCTTCCCAGCTGCTTGCCATGGCAGCAGAAGATGGCCACAGGGACATCGCGCGCTTGCTTTTGAAGATGTCTGGCGGATCTGCAGGCGAAGCACTGGCCCACGCTGCTGGCAACTGCCACGTGGGTGATGTGGACAAGTCAGGGACTGCTCGCACGCCTCCTGAAAAACCTCTGATGGAGGCAGACGCCAACACCGACACGGCTTGAGGACTCAACGGAGAGCTTGCAAATGCATCCAATGGCAACGGAGAAGCTGCCGTCGTCAACGAGCCTGCAGCAAAGGCCATGAACATGAAACTGGCAAGAGCCCAGGTTTCTAGAATCTAGTTAGAATTATGCGTTTTTATTTTGGTTTATATAATTCCCACGTGCATATTGAACATAGCATGTGTAAGCTCAGTTCTGTTTTGGGGCACTCTAGGGAATATTCGAAATAGTATGTTTTAGGTGAACCCTGAACCCTAAACACGAAACCTTCAACCCTAAACCCTAAACCCTAAACGTATGAGTATAGGTGACGGATCAACCCCGGCGTGGAGATTGTGCTCCGGGCATGTTCTTGGAGGCGCAACGTCGGGCATTTGGTCGCACGCGCCTTTCAGGGTATGTTTTTCTGCGTTTTGGGGTTTGGGTGTAGGGTTTAGGGTTGAGGGTTTAGGGTTTAGGGTTTAGGGCTTAGGGCTTAGGGTTGGGTTCAGGTGTAGGCTTGAAGGTTGGGTTGTTAGGGCTTGGGGAATTGGATCCTTCCATTGTCGCTGATGCGATGAGGGTGCCTCTTCTACCCTCAAGCCTGAATCGTGCTCAAAACCTCAAAGGGGACTGGATTTGGCAGTTTGTAAACTCTAGTTGGAGAGGAGTGATGGATGTCTTGACTCTCCTATGACACCTGAGGCCTGACCCTGAAATAAACCCGAAACCTTAAACCCTAAAACCCACGGACCTGAATGCTCAGTGCACAAGCACGCCAAGCCAAGAACTACAGAAAAGATTATCTCTGTGATTCTTATTGCGCTACACCATCTTAATAAGGTATATAGCTAAACGCTAGATGTTACAGCCTGCCGGATGCTGATGTGGACTAGATTGGAAGCACATCGAAGCTGAATATCAGGATGGGCCCAGCATGGGCTCTTGGGTCTCACAATCCCAGAACCAATGCTGGGGCTGGATTAGAAGAGGCCTGACAAGCTTAAGGGCACTTCATCTCGCGCTGTTTGTGAAAGCGATCGCCGGTTCCGGCAGGCTTTTGTGCGGCCAGCTTGGAAAAAAACGCTGCTCCGGGTCGGGTTTCGAGCTCATCCCGGGCACAAGCGCGGCACGTTTTTGTTTTTCTTTAATGATTTTTGTTTGAGGTTGACGGCAAGGAGTGCCCAAACTCCACCAATCCATCCCTAGACCCTCAACCCTTTGATACTACCGGGAGCACTACAGCACCCCACGGCTTTGAGAAAGAGTGTTTTTCACGCGGTTCGGGGGAGCAAGGATCCACAGACTTCCAGTCTACCAAAGGGCCCAAGTCATCAGATATGTTTAGAATTTAGGTCTATTTTGGCGGTGCAAGTATACACTAGCTAGCATTAGGTATATGGACCCTTGCAAGGATGGGCCCCCCCCAGCTCCGCGTAGGAAACCCTAGCTCAGGCTTACCAAAGCTTCATTGACGGCCGCGCTCTCAGCTGGCAATGGGGCAGCTGACGGTCGTCAAGTATCTATAGGGTTCTTAAGGGAGGGCGGTTCACGGGGGGTAGGTACCCAGGGAACCTTACGGAACCTTAGGGTAGCTTAGGGAGCCTTAGGGAGTAGTAGGAATCCGGGAACTTTGGGTTAAAGCCCTTCCCTTAAGAACCCTATAAAGTACGTATCTAAGCTTTAGGATGCTAAATTCCGAAACCCCAAGACCGACACCCCAAACCCTCAACCCTAAACCCCTAAACCCCAAAGCCTCAGTCCTACACCCAAAGCCCTATATACATCCTAAACCCTAAACCCTAAACCCTAAACCCCTAACCCCCTAAACCCCAAAATACATCTTAAATCCTAAATCCTTAAACTCCAAGCCCTGAGGCCCTAAAACCCAAACCCCTAAAGCTTCTCTGAGGCCTCCCTGCGTTCGTCGCCCAGGTGGATGCGCTGCACAAGGCAGACGAGGAGCCAGGACCAGGCTTGCAAATACCCTAAACCCTAAACCCTAAACCCTAAACCCTAGACCCTAGACCCTAAACCCAAAACCCTAAACCCTAAACCCTGAAGCTTTACGGGTTTTAAGTGCCCTGTACCGTTAGAGTTTCCCTACGACCAAATTGACAAATAGTTACAACAACCCGAAGCAGTGTTTCCAGCGGGCCCTGTTGAAATTCCAATTATAAGCCGCTGCTGCTGCGGGTGGTATCGGGAAGAGGGCGGACCCAAGTCAGATCCTTAAGAACAACCCTACTGTAAACCCCAAAACCCTAAGCCCAAAGCCCTGAAGCCAAAACTAGGGTTTAGGGTTTTGGGGTTCTTCAGGTCGCGCTCGAAGGGCTTAGGGTTATGGTTGATCTGTGGATCTGAGATTTTCGCCGGGGTTTTTGCCGAGTCGAGGAGAACCAATGTTCCCCCTTATACTAGCAGTCCTTCATGGGTATTATTGTACCCCCCCATATTACAATCCCTATTGAGGACTGTTACGGGATTGGGCCCAAAGCCTGAATATCAAGCCGAAAGCAGTGGCAAATGCAGCGGTCTAGAAGGGGTGCTCCTGCGCAGTCTACGGTCAACTCTTCCCGAGCGTGACTTCGACGCTGCAGCAACGAGCTCAGCGACGGTTTAGGGTTTAGGGTTTGGGGTTTGGGGTTTAGGGTTTAGGGTTTAGTGCCTAGGGTGCTAGGGTTTAGGGCTTAGTACGCATGTTGGAGCCCTGAACACCCACACATCTGAATCTCTTAGGATTTCAGGTGGGGTATGGCAAAATCCTTCCTTACATTCTCCTTTTGTAGGTTTTGGGGTATGGGTTCGGGCGTGTTGCATGTTTCTTAGATTACAGTTGGGACTCTGGGCGCCCTAGCTCTTTTCAAGCCTTAAGCCTTGCTGCATACAGGCATATTGCACGTAGGTACAGCGTTTGAATGCAATAAAAGTAAGTTCCTAGGTAAGATAAGGGGGACCCTTAAAAGGGAACCCTTCTGAACCTCTTCTGGCTCTCTTAAACAGGGACCTTATTGAGAGGGTCGAAAGCCAAGGGTCCCCCGAATCCGATCCCCTGTAAGTAAGAATGCATACGTATGTACGTGCCCTATTCGTCGGGTGTTCCTAATTTGACCCCGCCTACTTCAGAACTTGCTTGACCTTAAACCTCAACCCGAAAACCCTCAACCCTAATTGTTAAGAGGCACCCCTCCAAACCCTAAACCCTAGATCTCGGCCTAAACCCTAAACCCTAAACCCTAAACCCTAAACCCTAAACCCCAAACCCTAAACCCTAAACCCTAGAAAGGTTGCTTTCGGGGGGGGAAGCCCTGAGGATGACTTTCAGTGCAGTCAACCTCCTCGGGCTGTCGGCCATGGTGCACAGGCGAGCACTCAGAACTTCGGGTTTAGGGTTTAGGGTTTAGGGTTTAGGGTTTAGGGTTTAGGGTTCAGGGGCATGAGGCTATAGGGCTTTGGGCTCAGGATGATGTAGGGTTTTGGGTTGATGGTTTATGGAAAGGGTTTAGGGTCTCGAAGGCTTTGCGGCTGAAGGTTTAGGAGCCACAAGCCTCAAAACCCCTTTGCTTCAATGTGCGCAAGACGCCAACGAATGATTTGCAAAGACTCCTTGGGCTCCGCATTACATGGAAAAACTATCGCAAGATCAGCAGATCATAATAGCATCAGATCATGGTCTCGTAGCATGTTGCGAATATTTAGTCATGTAGCAATCTTGGAATATGTATATATATATATATACATATATATGTGTGTGTATACATATGTATATATTGCTACGATTCTACAATACTACAATACTACATCTAAACATTACCTCTACCATGCCGAAAGAGGGCATTTATCAAACACGCAACTGCACAAACTGCGCGAAACACGCAGTTGCACAAAATGCGCGAACGCAGATGAACTCACAAGCGGATGAACAACACACACACACACAAACAAATATATATATATATATATATATATATATATATGTATGTGTATATGTATATGTATATGTATATATGTATACATATATATATATATGCGTGTGTGTATTTAAAATGTATCTTTGTTCATTGGTTTATGTACGTATATGTATATGTACATGTACATGTACATGTATATGTATATGTAGATGTAGATGTATATGTATATGTATACGTATATAGTCATCCTGGGAACCCATAGATAGAACATGGTGATCCCCGACCCCGAAGCGAGCACCCCCAACTCCCCTGGGAACCCACAGATAGAGAATACAGTGAACCCCGGCCCCGAAGGCGCCTCTCCGCCCTGAACTTTAGGCCAGGGTTCTCAGGCTATGTAAGCCTCAAGAGAGGCGTCTTCAAGTGATGCCTACTTTGGGCTATTTGGAGCCTGACATTAAAAAAACTTAGAGGTCTAGACCCGAAACCCTAAACCCCCAAATCCCAAATCCCCGAAGCTGTCATAAAAAAAGGGAACCCATCGAAAGAATATAGTGGGCCCCGGTGCGCCCCTTGGCCCTAAATTTTCGGCCAATATTCTATCTACCGTTTTGGGGGTTTTGATATTCTATCTATCGTTTTGGACAGGGGTCATTTTTTCGGATTTTCAAGTATTCTATCTACTTAAGGATGCCTATATGTATATGTATATGTAGATGAATATTAAAGTTATCATGCGTTGTCATATTATATGTGTATTTGTACACATATATATATATATGTGTATATATATATATATATATATATAGACACTATATATGCGTGTATGTATGTATGTGTATATATATATACAACAACATCATGTACTATGTAGTATGCACACACACATATCCCGCGAGGCACTGTTTTCAGTCGGCCGCTCGCCTTTGCTTGGGCCGATCCTTGCCTCTTGCCTCGGTTTAGGGTTTAGGGTTTAGGGTTTAGGGTTTAGGGTTTAGGGTTTAGGGTTTAGGGTTTAGGGTTTGGGGTTTACGGTTTGGGGCTTGGGGTATGGGGTTTGGGGTTTGGGGCTTAGCGTTTAGGGTTTAGGGCTTGTGGTTTAGGGTTCAG